ATCCGCCCGCCTTGGCCTCCCAGAGAGCTAGGATTACAGGCGTGAGCCACCGCGCCCGGCCTTGCCCAGCTAATTTTTCTATTTTTAGTAGAGACGGGGTCTCACTCTTGCTCAGGCTGCTCTCGAACTCCTGAGCTCAAGCGATCTTCCCGCTTCGGCCTCCCAGAGTGTTAGGATTACAGACATGAGCCACTGTGCCCGGCCCCTATGGTGTTTTTAATGTTGCATTTTCATTATCATTCAGTTAAAAACATTTTCTAATTTATGATTTATGCTTTGGCTCATGGGTTTAATTGCCAGATAACTGGCTTTTCTAGATGTTTTATTTTTATTCATTTTTAACTTAATTCCATTGTGGACAGACAACACACTGTGGGTTTTTAGTTTTGCTACCTAGTTGCTCTGTTTTATGAAGGTATCTGGGGAGATTTAAAAACTATGCTGCCATACCATCTCCCCAATATACTCCTAGCAATATCTACTTTTAAGATTTTTCTTATCTTCGAGAGTCTAAATGAATCCAAAATGACCTGAATTACTAGCATTAATTTAATTCAATAATGAATTCAATAATTTATTATGCTTTGAAATATATTTCTTCATGTATGATCTAGAGAATAACAAATACTTACTGTTATTTGCAAGAGTGAGTCCAATAAATGAGCAAACTGGGCGAATTATCTCAGGTTTCATGCAATTTATTAGCCACTCATTAGCATGTGGAAAAAGCGAACAGCAAAACAATTGATTTTCATCTGAAAGGAGACAAAGTCAATCATGTTCTAATATGACATCTATAAAATATCAGTTTTCATTTGTTTTTATCTTTATTTTTATAATTAAATATTAGAGATAATTACCATTTTGAGGATTGTTGACACAAACACACAGAGTACTACACACTGAAGACCACAATTGATAATTCTGGAAAACATTTTTATCTAACAAATTCAACTCATATTTTGAAAGAACTGTCCTATTAGGTTAAAAAGAAAAGGAAGTAATTAACATAAATGTGTTAAGGTCTTAAGTAATGAATAATTAACAAGAAATTTATATTTGTTTACCTGAACAACCGTGACAGAACTGTAATACAACCTGTTTCTCTCACAAGTGTTTGTCCGGTCCCTTTAAAAAATAGCCATATATTACATGAATATGATTTTTATTTAGAAATAATTTTACAGAAATGAAAATGATATTTAAGTAGTATTTGAATAATTAACTTTTAAACCACTTTAAAATATTACAAAGTGTAAAACAGAAATACAGTAGATAAAAGTCTATAATCAAGATTATTATAAAAATACACTACTTAGAGACTGACAGCATTCAAATTTCCTCTAAAACTTATGAAACACTTATTTTGCTTCATGGTTCTGTGTTACAATACCAAAATCTGTTCCAAAAGAGAAAAATATGAATTCAGTCTTTTCTAGTTTTTTTCAAAATATAAAATCTAGAAGCATTTTAAAATGCTTATGAAATTTCTAACAATTTAAAGAATTAAAATAAAGCACTGTTAAAAAATAACCTTAGCCTGGGCAGTAAGTATACAGGAACACTCTATACTATCTTTGCAACTTTTCTGGGTATCTAAAATTATTCCAAAATAATAACCATTGCTGGCTGATACAGTAAACATTGTAACCAAATGTTCAATTCAGTGCAAAATCAACCAAACTAATTCATCAAATACTTCTTTTTTTTCTTTTAAAGCTGTTACGTTATAACATTAAGTAGTACAGATTATTATTTCT